TGAAGTTTCAAGGGGTGACTTAAAATCGTGGAGAAAATCTTAAAACAGTACGTTTCTGATAAAAGCCGTATATGTAACAATGTAACTGGCGGCGAGAGCCTGATAAAAAAATTACGATCAGAATAAGGGTTCCCTTTCTTCTCGGGGGAGACTCTAAATCCGCGAGATCGTATCTCTAGCGAACAATCGATTCCACGCGAATGGCGGAATACGCTTATTCGTTCGATTGCAGTCGGAATATTGGTTCTATCTCGGGTTCAAGAAGAAGCGAAAGAAACTCTGAAGAAACCTATAGTTGTGTATGTGCGCGTAGTCCAGAATAATTCGCATATTTGCATACTTCATTGGCGTGCACCGCATCGAGATGACGGCAATTCTGTTCGCGATCTGCATTCTATTGGTCCTCTCTTATAATATACCAGCGGAAAAATCTTAACGATAGTCGTTTACGTTCAATTTTCACACCGACATTCTTTCGTGCGTCTCTCGTTAATATGTTTTTTTACTATATCAAATAAGTACTTTTACTAAGTTTATATCTCGAGACATGTATATACATATATATATGTGTATATATATATATATATATATATATATATATATACATATACATATATAAAATGTATGTACACGTTCAAAATGTGCCATCTCCAATGATGTTCAATGCATGAATTTTTATCAACAATAAAAGACGGGAAACTGCGACGCTACTTAAAAGGAAACGCGAAACTGGCACGAGCTAGCTTCCGATCATTCATTCGAATGATCAATTTAGCGCTCTTAATTTTTAATGCGCGAAACTCGAAGTCTGCTAATAAAAATGCATTCATTTAAGCTACGTAATTATATGCATTCTAAAAAAAATCGGGCTAATTAAAAGCAATCTCTTTTAGAACACGCAATACTGCGTTTAATCCTCATGAATGAAAATAATCTTCCGCTAGCTAACATTTTCGCGCACACACATAGTCCGATAAATTAGGGAAACTGTGTAATTTTACGGTCCACGACACATTTTAATCCGGGCTAATAGTTCGCAAGCGCCTAAAGTCAAGAAGGGAAGGAGCGAGAGGGAAAGACAGAGGATTCTCCTTGCGGCTAATAATGTGTTACGGAAACGTAAATTACATACATCGTCACGAATACCACAAACGTCACGGCGCCCTTCGTGAGCCGAACGCGTTCTCTCTTTCTCTCTTCGCCTCTCTCCAACATTATATCGATCGTTAGCTATTTTCAGATTCAGGAACAATATTCGAGCGTTAATTGCTCCATTTCGCCCCGCTATTCATCCCTCACCGCAAAACAGCTCATGTACACAATTGGAGGATACTCGCGTGGCGCACATAGCGCGGCATGACCGTTGTGTGAGCACGTATAGTTTAAGAACTTTCCGGGAAATTGTTCGCGTTATTGAATGTGTGTACTATGCAAACAAAACAACAACAAGCGTTTGGCATGTTGACAATAAATTCCGATTAATGCCACAGATTACCCAAATATGAAGCATCAAGATATGCAATTGTGAAATACAAAGACAGATAATCTAAGATAAATTTTAGAAATGCGCATTTATGTATATCTAAACATAGCTGTTTGATATATGTTATTTTATATAAATTATAAATACGTATATATATTGTGCAAAAATTGATAATAGAAATCAAGTAAGACTGCGTAATGCACAAAAAATGCAAACAATCTTTGTAAAATATCTCATGAATGTCTTTGGTGCAACGTTGCTTTAACTTAATTCGTCGTCTGTATTCGCCAGGGAGGCCGCGTAAACTCTAATTCTACTACGTGTTGCAGTGACCTAAAATAATAATCAACACCACGGTACGGTGTCAGTTACAGTTTGCTAGATGTAGTACGACTACTTTATTCAAACACAGGGGTGTATAAACAAAAAAAGTATCACTGTAATTTCCTTGTTAACCTCGCGATCATGTGCCACAATTACGATAACGAAACTATTTGCAAAGTTGATTATCATATTACTTTCTCATATCAAATATTATACACGATTTTTCTTCGAGATTATCATAATCGTTTTTGCACTTGCTGCATATGTTAACGATATGTACAGAAAACGAGGTCACGTTGTTATTCAAGGAAGTATCATACACAGAAAGATTTTATTAAAGTTAAGAATATTTTTAAAATAAAAATTCATATTAAATAGATAGAAATTAATATTTCTTTGTATATGCATATGTATAATATATGGGTACATGGGTATTATATATTGTATGTATACTATACTTTTTAAAATACTTGTAAATATGTAAATATGTTTTATATAATATTGCATATTATTAATATATGATTTTTAATTATATTAATATATAATTTTTAAATTGTCGAAAAATTGAATTATATAGAATCGAGTGAAATTATATCTCTAAATATTGCTGAAATAAATTTTACATTTTATTACATATGCACATATATCTATATGCAAAATATTAAATGATATCAGCATTTTTTAATTAATTAATCGCGCGCCACAATCTGATAATTGTTAATTATAATAATTATATAAAATAATCTCACATTTTGCATAATACTACTTATAATAATATGATAATACAGAGCGCGATTACGCCGTTATCTTTTCGCTTGAATTTCACTGCGCAAATGACGGACTGCAAAATGTAGCACGCAGACCACGCATACCTCATCAGTCATTAGTGTGTAAAAATTTTGACAATAAATTATCAATAATTATATTCGGTATTCGGCTATGGATTTTAACGCGCTGTTGTTTACCTGCTTCGGCTTTGTTGTTATTCGCGCACCGATACTTGAACAGAAAAATAATGCGAAAATAATGCTCCATTAAATTTTTTTCTAAACGCGATCACGATCAATATAGGAACTATACTTTTGCTATATCTAATAATATTAATAAGTAATTAATAATTAATTCACTTTTATAAAAATATAAGTATGTCATATAATGCGTATATAAAATATTATCAACGAATTATTTATCAATATACTATTCGGTTTTGGTGGTCAATAGCGTTCTATTGCTTATGTGCTTGACAATTTATGTTTGTTATTCTTACATTTTGTATCGAAAAAAATACGAGTTTTTATGATACTCTTTAAGATCTCTTAAGATAGAGAAAAATAATTTGCTAATAGTCAAAATCCAAACTTTGTTTTGTCTAAAGTATTTGCACATTTTTAAATGTATTGTTCAAAATTCATGTCCGTTTTTACATCAAATATGGTGTGTTTATTTCATGTACATTTCGCGCAAAAATATTTATTAAAGAATTTTATTTTGCATTTGTCAAAATAAAAAGAATTTACTTAATCGAATGTATTTAATAAAAACTAGCACAGTAAATGTATGCAAATTAAAAATTTAAAGTTTACTGCAATTTACTTCAATTTTTATGCTACAAATATACAGTTGTATATATGGTTATAATTTTATATACGAAATAGAAAGTAGAAAAGATATTATATATATATTATATATATATATATATATATATATATTAAATTTGTTGTATATTCAATTAAGATATATATATATATATATATATATATATATATATATCTTAATTGGATGTATCTTTTTAATAAACTCTGAATAAAATTGCTTAACACACGTATATTTTGCACAAAATTATTTCTACCTTTAAAAATTCTTTGCTGTTATTAAATATCTTTTTCTTATCTCAAAATATCTTAAGGAATATAATAACAATCTCTATTTTTGGCACATAATACTGAATTTTCATAACAATTTGGAAACTTTTATTTTAATTATTTATTTCTTTTTAATTTAAGTTTTCATCATAATTTTAACGTTTTAAGACGTTATATTAATGTTACATTATTACACTTTAAATAAATTTTAAATAAATTTAGCTCTTCAAGAACGCTTCAAGTTTCAAATAAAATGCAAAAAGCACGTGAGCAAACAATGAATAAACATTTATTTGAGACCATTCTAAATAATATCGCGCGTAAAGAAAACAATCTCGATTATAATTTTGTGTCTTATTCATTTTTCATGACATTTATGCATCATCGTAAACTGTTAATCTCGATAGAAAAAGAATACAAAAATATAACGTAAGAATCGTATCGCGCATGTACATATTTGAGAAAGAATATTCTTCTTTAACAGGTATTAGTACATATTATATTATTATACAAATTATTTTACGAAAAAGGGATGGAATGATTATTAAATTATCTTTTTACTCGTAATATTCTACATTATATACAAAGAGCTTAGATAACGTGAATAATGGAAAAAATACAACCGAGGCACAATTAAGCAAATGATATTTCACTGTAGACATAAAAGAAAACAAAAACGGACATTATCCTTGATATACATATACGCGCAAAAGTAAAACATGTTATCAAAAGGGCAGAAATGGTTATTACAAGTATGTTAAAACAAGTGTTTTACGTGAATTATTCGACAAAATAATAGTCCGTCGATGATTACATTTTGATAGAATGTCAGTAAAACGTCAACTTAATGATTAGCAGCAAGAAGGGGGCAAGAAGAAAGGGCGGAAAGGAAACATTAATCTTGAAGAATGATTACCCGAAGGTACATAAGGTATATGAAACGCTCTCGCCACACTTTGCAATCCACGAGCGTCTTAATCGAGACGATCGTATACGATCACGGTCTCCCTAGTTTTATAATTGAATTCCTTCAAGAAATTCAACGGCTTATAATCACACATCCGCCGTCTTTTTTTCCGCATCTTTCCACGATCGCGATCTTCCCCATTCATATCTTCATCCTTTTGCAATCGGCTCACAAACAAGACAGAATAAAATTTAATCGAAATCAAAATGAAATTTTACGAATTTTGTTCTTATTATTATTTCGATTAATTACATTTAATATCGCCGCGTGCGAGAAATCAAAAAAAAAAAATCATGCGACGATTTTCGACCGCATTTTATTCAAACTTGAGGAGTAACTTGGTGTCGTAATATATATTTTTCAGATGCGATGGTGTAGCTGAAACCGCAATGATCGTGCAGCGGCCCGCTGGAGGAATTCGCGGACATAAGGGCATGCCATTAGGGACAACGAATATGGAATCCCGGTGAGACGAAAAGAACCAGAACAATCCTCGACTAGATCTTCCGACGTGCTTGAAATAGGCAGTAATGGAGCAAATTCTTTTCCCTCGGAAAATACTCGGCCTATGAGAAGCATTTTTTTGCGACGTTACTCTCAGCGGACAAGGAGAGAGATTTCATCGTTCTCTTCGTCTTCAACAACGAGGCTCTTCGTCAAATGTCCTCAAAAACTTGGACCTCTCATCGAGTTTCAAATTATAATCCCGGGACTGGGACGTTTCGCGCATTGTTCTCGAGGAACTTTCGCATCGATCGCGTAGCAAATCGGACGAACTCTCTTCCGGACGCGAGTCTTCGGCAACTTCCTGAGAACGCGACGCCGCGAATTATCATCTCCTCTCTCTATCTCTCTTTTTCTCTTTCTCTCGCTCCTTTATCTTACCTCGTTAAAATGCTCTCGGGCAGGAACAATTTCCACTTTGCCCGAGATAAACGCAGCTAAAAAAAGGAATCCTCGAGTCAATTGAAAATTAAGGAAATACCGGAAGCGTTCGCGCGAGGTGAGATTCCC